TTGGTTTGGTGAAACCCCAAGGCAATGAACAGCCTCTCTCAAGTGCATGTTCACTCTATGCATGAGTGATGATTCTTATATCTCTATCAAAAATCTAATCCCCATGCATGCATTAAGATCTAGCAATTCTAGGGCATCATTTCAGCTGAATGAAGACCAACCGAATTGTGCAAGTTATCTCTAACCTTGCACTCAATTTGGTTCTTGATTAGCAGATATGAAATCCTAGAGTCTTTCTCAAGCACTCTAGAACTTCCAAGAATCAAGAACAGTTCGGCCAAACAGAATTAAGATTGCCTAAATTCTTTCTCAAGCAATTCAGACATTACAAAATCAAGATCTGAAATTACAGATCTGAAATTACAAAACAATAGTTCAACTAGTTGTTCTACAATCAAATTTCTAATCAAGAAACATCAAGATCGCATCTAATCCATTTGAATGAACCTAGAAAACTAACTAGATATCTGAATTTACAGAAATCATGCTTCAATTATAGCAAGAAAGAAAAATTAATGGAGAATTGAACATGAAACCCTAGTTGATTTCAATTACCAATGGCGCAGAATTCAAAGAAGACAACTTAGATTGATCTCCTCCAATGGATTCTTCTCCCAAATTCGAATTCAGCTTCTTCTCCTCTTGATGTTGCTCGAGTCTCCTTTCTTCTCCTCTCTTGTGCCTATCTCTCTCTTCTCCCTCCAAGAATTCGACTCGAAGAGTTTTCTCCCCAAAGGGCTTGAACCACAAGGTGCTGAACATTTTTTCCTCCAAGAAACCTCCTTAAATAGTTTTTCCTCCAGCTCTCCAAGAATTCTAGAAGTTGTCGCCCTTAGCCTCTCTTGAACCTTCTAGAATTTGCTGCCCCTAGCCTCTCTTGAACCTTCTAGAATTTGCTGCCCCTAGCTTCTCTTGAACTTTCTAGAAGTTGCCGCCCCTATCTTCCCTTGGGCTGCAATTTGGGCTCCTCTTGAGCTGCAAATGGGCCTCCTCCTTTCTAGGCCGAATAGGCTCCCTTGGAAAGCTGTGGCTAGGCTCTCTCTTTAGGCATCTCCTAAAGAGTGCAGCATGGGCTGCATGGGCCGAATAGCCTTCCTTTGACCTCTTAGTTGGGCTTTTGTTCCAACTAGGCTGAATTACCTCCAATTTAGCTCATTTTTCCTTGTTTTATGATTTCTTTCTCCTGAATTGTTTTCCCTTAAAGATTTCCTGAAATTAAGCTGAATTGGGGCAAAAATCACACAAACTAGCATAAAAACCATGCATAAAGCCTCATAAAATATGTGTAATTTGTGCACTCATCAAATACCCCCACACTTAAGCTTTTGCTTGTCCTCAAGCAAAGGCATCAGCCATAAACTGATCATCCCCCCTTATTCTCACCATTTACTAGATGATTTTTTAGGAGAAAAATGCATTGAGTGGTCAGGAAACTTGTGTAGGTATTCTGCTCCATTCCTATGAACTACCACTCTTATCACATACATAAGAGCCAAGGAAGGGGAGAATATGAAATTCTTCAAGTTCCAACTTTCACTCCCATTCAACATGTAGATTAGCTCCTTGACCGCCAAAATTAACCATCACTTTGAGCTAGGTCTCAAATCTGTAATTGCACCTCATTGAGTGTTCAACTGCATTTTGTCCCTTAGAGCCTCAGCCGTCACTGAATTCTTTTCTTTTCTTTCCCCCAAATTTTTAGTGTGAGTGCATTTTATGCTCCATCTCAATGGGGTATTTTCTTCTTTCTTCTTTTTCTTTTTTTTTTTCTTTTGGTGTGAGTGCATTTTATGCTCCATCTCACACGGGGTATTTTCTTCTTTCTTTTTTTTTCTTTTTTTTTTCTTTTGGTGTGAGTGCATTTTATGCTCCATCTCACACTAGTCACAGGCTTGAGGTAGATAACAATACTCATATTCCAAGTTGCTAGTTTTACTATTCAGCTCGGAATAGCGAAGTCAATTCTTTTGCAATTGTTGAACTTTCTGCATTAACAGTTCAAATGTGACTAGCTCGATTGATCATTAATAATGCAATCAAATGCCTTATACATATGAAGGTAGTTAGGGCTGGTCATGATGAAAGTCATATTCAGCTCCCTTATCCTCATGCATTGTGCTAAGTTGGATCATTCACAAGAATAAAAACTGACACATACAGTGGGGTTTAGAGGACTTCCCTGAGGATCATTCTCAAATTCTGCAATTGTTCTTTTGATGGTAAGCCTCTAGCTGCTAAGAGTCACATTAAACTAGAAATAGAGATCAGCAACTTTATTCAAATAACATCCTAAAAAAAAACTACACTAAAATTAAATGTTATGAATGAGAAAAGCATAATCAATTAAGACATTATATGACTAAGCATCTGAAGCTTGACAGTCTAGGGAGGTCACCGGTCGTCTAGATAAACAGTGGATGGAGGAGGCATTGTTCCACCCACCCTATATGGCTTCAGGCATTGACCATTCACCTTAAATGTGCCTTGTGCCGGGTGGGTGACCTCTATGGCCCCATGGGGAAAAACCTATGTAATGGTGAAAGGCCCCAACCATCTGGATTTCAGCTTGCCTGGGAACAACCAGAGACGGGAATTATACAGCAACACTTGCTGGCCCACATGAAAGTTACGTCTCAACAAGTTCCTATCATGCCATCTTTTAGTTCTCTCCTTGTAAACCTTGGCATTCTCATAGGCGGCAAGTCTGAATTCATCCAGCTTATTCAGCTGCAACCGCCTCTTAGCTCCTGTGGCCTGTAAATCAAAATTTAAGAATTTTAGTGCCCAATATGCCTTATGCTCCAACTCAACTAGTAAATGACATGCTTTGCCAAAAATTAGCCTGTATGGGGACATGCCGAGGGGTGTTTTATACGCAGTTCTATAGGCCCATAATGCATCATCTAACCTGATTGCCCAATCTGTCCTAGCAGAGGCTGCTGCCTTCTCTAAAATTCTTTTGAGCTCCTTGTTAGCTAGCTTGACTTGGCCACTGGTTTGAGGGTGATAAGGGGTAGCCAACTTGTGTGTAACCCCATATTTCTGCATCAGCCATTCATACTGGGCATTGTAGAAATGAGTTCCGTTGTCACTAATTATAGCTCGGGGTGTGCCAAATTGGGTGAATAGCTTTTTCAGGAACTGTACTACCCTCCTAGAGTCATTTGTGGGTAAAACTATGGCTTTCACCCATTTAGACACATAATCAATAGCAACGAGGATGTACTTATTCCCAAAAGAATTCGGGAAGGGTCCCATGAAATCTATACCCCATACATCAAAAATTTCACAGATTAAGATATTAGTGAGGGGCATTTCATTCTGTCGGGAAATGTTACCTGCTCTCTGACATTGATCACAGGTGGACACATACCTATGGGCATCTTTGAACAATGTTGGCCAATAAAAACCTGATTGCAAGACCTTGGCTGCAGTGCAGTTGGCTCCGAAGTGGCCTCCCGCTTCTCTATCATGGCAGTACCTGAGCACCGGCTCCATCTCCTCCTCGGGGACACACCTCCTTATGATCTGATCTGCACATAGCTTGTACAAAAAGGTTCCTCCCATAAATAGTATTTCACATTAGAGAAGAATTTCTTCTTCTGCTGATATGAAATGTTAGGAGGGACAACATGTGCAGCAAGATAGTTTGCAAAATCAGCATACCAAGGTGATGGATTGACCTGAATGGAGTAGAGTTGTTCATGTGGAAATTCCTCTCGGATGGTGTTGATCGTCTTCTCTTCTGAGTCTACCTTGTCTAACCGGGAGAGATGATCAGTAGCTAGGTTCTCGGTACCTTTCGTGTCACGAATTTCAATATCAAATTCTTGCAGTAGTGAACAAACACTTTCAGTAGCTAGGTTCTCGGTACCTTTGGTGAGTAAGTGCCTCAATGCCGAGTGATCTGTATACATAATAACTTTGGACAAAATCAGATATGAACGAAACTTGTCAAAAGCAAAGATTACTGCTAGTAGTTCCTTTTCTGTTGTGGTGTAATTCAGTTGGGCTCCACTCAAGGTTCTGCTGGCAAAGTAAATCGGCTGAAAGTGTTTGTTCACTCTTTGTCCTAGAACAGCTCCTACGGCTGAATCACTCGCATCACACATCAGCTCAAATGGAAGTGTCCAATCCGGTGCTATCATGATGGGTGCATTGATCAACTTGTCCTTTAGGGTGTTGAATGCTTGTAGGCATTCAGCTGTGAACTCAAAGTCCACATCTTTCTAAAGCAAAGTAGACAATGGCTTGGCTATCTTGGAGAAGTCCTTGATAAATCTTCTATAGAACCCTGCATGTCCTAAGAAGCTTCTCACAGAACGGACGGAACATGGTGGTGGCAACTCCTCAATTGTCTCCACCTTAGCTCTATCAACCTCTATACCTTTCTACGAAATCTTATGCCCAAGCACTATGCCTTCTTGCACCATGAAATGGCACTTCTCCCAGTTCAGCACTAGATGTGTCTCTTTGCACCGCCTAAGCACCTTTTCCAAATTGTTCAAACATGCATCAAATGAAGAGCCAAAAACTGAAAAATCATCCATGAAAACCTCCATGAACTTTTCAACCATATCAGAAAATATTGACATCATGCACCGCTGAAAAGTTGCTGGAGCATTATACAACCCGAATGGCATTCTCCTATAGGTAAAGGTACCGTAAGGGCAAGTGAAGGTGGTCTTCTCTTGGTCTTCCAGTGCAATTGAGATCTGATTGTAACCCGAATAACCATCCATGAACGGGAGAGGGAAGTGATCCTTGCATGTGGCTTCATTCAACTTTCTGTAGTCAATGCATACTCGCCACCCGGTGACGGTTCTAGTCGGGATGAGTTCATTTCTTTCATTTGAAACAACGGTCATGTCACCTTTTTTGGGCACTACTTGAATGAGGCTTACCCAAGAATTGTCAGAGATAGGATAAATAATTTCGGCATCTAAGAGCTTAATGACTTCAGCCTTCACCACCTCCTTCATGTTCGGGTTCAGGCATCTCTAAGGCTGAACTGAGGGCTTGCTGCCATCTTCCATCAGAATCTTATGTGTGCATACCGAGGGGTTGATGCCCTTGATGTCAGCTACCTTCCAAGCCAATGCTGTCTTATTTTCTCGCAACACTCTTAACAATTTTTCTTTTTGCAATGGGCTCAAGGCTGCTGATATGATTACCGGTAAAGCTGATGATGCCTCTAAGAAAGCATACTCCAAATGAGGTGGGAGTTTCTTTAGTTCAAGGGTGGGCGGTTCTTGGATTGAAGGCTTTCTTGTTGGTATTGGTGGTCTGTCCAAGCTCTCCAACTTAAGAAATCCTTTCCCTCGGAATTGTGGCTTGGCATTCAGGTATGCTGCCATGCGGTTAATCTCTTCATTTTCTTCCCTTGCAGCTCCTCCCTCTTGTAGGAAAAGTTCAAGAGGATCGGCCAACCTGCTTACCTAAAAGCAATCATCAACTGCATAATCAATAACATCAACCATATAACAAGAATCATCACTAGAGGGTGCATGTTTCATAGCATCAGACATTTTAAAAATTATTTCTTCATCTTGAATTCTAAGATTGAGTTGTCCTTGTTGGACATCAATCATTGCCTTCCTCGTAGCTAGGAAAGGTCTCCCTAGGATGAGAGGAACATCAACATCTTCTTGCATGCCTAATACAATGAAATCAACTGGAAAAATGAATTTATCTACTTTAACAAGCACATCTTCTATAATTCCCCTAGGATGCTTGATGGACCTATCAGCCAATTGCAATGCAACTCTAGTGGGTTGGTGTTCTCCCAATCCCAGTTTCTTGAAAACCGAATATGGCATTAAATTTATGCTAGCTCCTAAATCACACAATGCCTTTTCAATTTTTAAACTGCCTATAGTACAAGGAATAGTGAAACTCCCTGGATCTTTAAGCTTTTGGGGCAGCTTGTTAAGAAGGATTGCCGAGCATTCTTCGTTTAGAGCAACCGTAGCCACATCTCCCAATTTCCTTTTGTTTGCCAATATCTCCTTCAAAAACTTGGCATAGTGTGGCATCTGGGCTAAAGCATCAGAAAAAGGAATATCAATATGTAAACTTTTAAACACTTCAAGAAATTTACCGAATTCCTTTTCCAACTTGTGTTGCTTCAGCCTATTGGGAAAGGGAACTTGTGGCTGTTGGTGTCTTTCTTGCTGCGGTTCAGATTGCTCCTCCTTCTTGTTTTTGGTTTCAATGGTTGCATCTGCCTTGTTTCCAGCCCTTGCTTTCTTCTCTACTTTCGGCAGCTCCTTACCACTTCTTAAAGTGATAGCCTGCACTTGTTCTCGTGGATTTACTTTTGTATTGCTTGGTAGAGTGCCCGGTATTATTGCTGAAATCATTTGCGCCAACTGCCCAACCTGATTTTCCAAGTTCTTTATTGAAGCCTCTTGATTCTGAAATCTTGTTTCCGTACTAGCAATGAACTTGGTCATTAGCTCTTCTAGGTTAGATTTCTTTTCCAACTGATGGAAATTTTGGGGGAAGGGCTTCGGCCCATGCTGATTTGGCCATGACTGATTCGGGTAGCCCCTCCATCCGAGGTTAAAGGCATGGTGGTACTGATTTCCTTGCTGCCTTGCAAAGTTGCCAACAAAGTCAACCTGTTCTGTGGACTGCCTAAACTGATTGCCAACTTGGCATGCAGTGCTGATGTGGCCTCCCCCACACCAATCACATGTCACGAACTGCACGTGCATGGCTGCCATCTGCATCTCATCAATTTTCTTGCTAAGTGCACCTATTTGCACAGATAGAGCTGTATATGTGTCCACATTGTGAAGACCATGCTGCTTCCTCACTTGTGCCCTCCTTGAATGCCATTGGTAATTATTGGCTGTCATCTCCTCTATAAGTGCATGGGCCACTTCAGGGGTCTTATTGTTGATGGAGCCCCCGGCTACCGCATCTCGAATGGTCTTGTTGGCTTCGGTTAGACCATCGTAGAAGGTTTGCACTTGCAGCCATATAGGAAGTCCATGATGAGGGACCTTCCTTAACAGCTCCTTATAACGCTCCCATGACTCATATAGAGATTCTCCATCTTGTTGGAAGAAAGTGGTGATGTCATTTCTCATCTTTGCTGTCTTGGATGGGGGGAAGTACTTGGAGAGGAATCGACTAGCCATCTCATCCCAAGTGGCTATAGATCCGGCCGGTAATGAATTCAGCCAAGCCTTGGCCTTGTCTTTCAATGAAAATGGGAATAACCTCAGCCTAACAGCATCAACACTCACCCCATTGTGGTTGAAAGTGTCACAAATCTCCAAGAAGTTGGCTATGTGAGAGTTTGGATCTTCATGAGCCATACCACAGAACTGAACTGTGTTTTGGATCATCTGAATTATGACTGGTTTGATCTCAAAATTATTAGCAGCAATGGCTAGTCTTACAATGCTTGAAGCAGCCCCAGTTAGGGTTGGTTTGGCATAGTCCATCATAGTCCTTGGTTCAGCCATCTCTTCAATTTCAGCTATAACTTGTCTAGCAGCTCTTAGGTGGATGCGGAGGGTTCTTTCAATCTATGGATCGTAAGGGACTTCCTCCGGTTCAGGTCTGCTTGTCATAAATTGTACAAGTCAAAGCAATAAAAAGACTAATGTACACCAATCAGAAATGTAAATAATCAAACAATCAACAATCCTAATAAAGAAGTACTGTTAACCACTACTGTAGCAGTAATTTACAAGACAAAGACTGAATGCTATCTAAAAAGAAGAGCTTCAAGCACAAGAACAATCAGCAAGCTGAATATAAACAGATCCGAAATCTGATATACATGATTGAAATTAGAGAAGTACCTTCTCAAATCAAGAAAACTGCACCTTACCGAGCTGATATACAAGATTGGACAAGACTAGCAGCCTAATATATATATAGTCGGCAAGAAGAAAGAGGATTTCTGATTTCAGCCATGATGGTAAATGTGCACAGATCTGAACTGTAATATTTTCATGGAATATACATAACTAATAATCAACTACATTACCGAAATTACCAAATCATAACATATCCAATCAAAAAGAACTGCACACAACCAAATTTATAACAACAACCTAAGACAAAGCCAATCGGCAAGAAGAACAGTCAACAATCTCCAAAACATAGAAGTTAGCTAAAAAGAAAAACAACCTATAGAATTCTGATTTCAGTACTGAAGGTCAATGTACACAGATCTGAACTATAAAATTTTTATAAACTATTCAGAACTGAAAAGCAGCTACACTACCAAGACTAGAACAACAACCTAAGACTACGCAATTTAGCAATAGGAAATAAAACTACTGATATCAGTAATGAAAGTTACTATATACAGATCTGAATCCTACTACAAATCAGAAATCTACCCAAGTCAGAAATCTATCAAATCAGAAATGAGATCTATAGCAGCAAGCTATGGGATTCTTCCTACAAAACACAGATCTGAAATCTACTAAATCAGCAAAATAACCTATAGAATCAATAAGCTACATTCTACAGAAACAAGAATAACAACCTTAGCTAGATGCATTCGGCAAGGAGAAAGAAATTTGAAACTACTGAAACTAGCTACACTACTGAAACTAAAACAACAAACTAAGATAAAGGCAATTAACAATAAGCAAGAAAATTACTTCTATCAGCAAGGGAAGTTACTCTATCTACAGATCTGAACCTAATATATAGAAAAAAAAATCAGATTACCTAGCACAGAATTAGAAGCATTCGACAAGAAGAAAGAGATTACCTAAATCAGTAATGTAGGTTAGTGTGTGCAGATCTGAACTATAATGTATAGAACTAAAGATCATCTACACTACTGAACTAGAACAACAACCTATGTTAGAGACAATCGGCTATAAGAAAGAAAACTACCTAAATCAGCAATAGAGGTTAATGCACACAAATCTAAACTACAATGTACAGAGTTAGAAATCAGATTAAGAGTGGCTAATAGTTCCTAATATTGCTGCAATAAGTCCCCGGCAGCGGTGCCAAAAACTTGATGCGTATTTGCTACACTAGCAAGTGCACTAGCCGCTCAAGTAATAAAGTGATGAATAGAGTATTGTTTCCCATGAGGACTTATGTAGCAACTACTAGTAGTATATCAGTCTACTCTTATTTGATTAGCCGAATTGTAAATCTATTGCAAATCTGAAATCCTAACTACAAAACTATCTCTAAGGAATTGGATCAAACACCTTGCATGCAAGTTGAGAAGACAAGCTAATTAAGCACAAAAAGGATTCAGCAATTAGTTCTCTAGGTCATTCGAGTAGATTAGGATTCAACATTGGTTTGGTGAAACCCCAAGGCAATGAACAGCCTCTCTCAAGCGCATGTTCACTCTATCCATGAGTGAAGATTCTTATATCTCTATCAAGAATCTAATCCCCATGCATGCATTAAGATCTAACAATTCTAGGGCATCATTTCAGCTGAATGAACAACAATCGAATTGTGCAAATATCTCTAACCTTGCAATCAATTCGGTTCTTGATTATCAAATCTGAAATCCTAGAGTCTTTCTCAAGCACTCTAGAACTTCCAAGAATCAAGAACAATTCGGCCAAACAAAATTAAGATTGCCTAAAATCTTTCTCAAGCAATTCAGACATTACAAAATCAAGATCTAAAATTACAGATTTGAAATTACAAAACAACAGTTCGGCTAGCTGTTCTACAATCAAATTTCTAATCAAGAAACATCAAGATCGCATCTAATCCATTTGAATGAACCTAGAAAACTAACTATAGATCTAAATTTACAGAAATCATGCTTCAATTATAGCAAAAAAGAAAAATTAATGGAGAATTGAACATGAAACCCTTAGCTGATTTCAATTACCAGTAGCGCAGAATTCAAAGAAGACAACCTAGATTGATCTCCTCCAATGGATTCTTCTCCCAAATTCGAATTCAGCTTCTTCTCCTCTTGAAGTTGCTTGAGTCTCCTTTCTTCTCCTCTCTTGCACCTATCTCTCTCTTCTCCCTCCAAGATTTTGACTCAAAGAGTTTTCTCCCCAAAGGGCTTGAACCACATGGTGCTGAACATCTTTTTCCTACAGGAGACCTCCTTAAATAGTTTTTCCTTCAGCTCTCCAAGAATTCTAGAAGGGGTAGTCATTCCATTTTATTTTTAATTTTCTTATTTTTATTTTCAAACTCTTTTTTTGATAGAATAGTTATTTTTTAATTTTTAATTAATTTTTTTTCTAGATCCGATTTTTTTTTTGTATTATTTTGCTTCAATTTTGTTTCTAGATCTATTTCTTTCTTTATTTTAATTTCTTGTTCCATTTTTTTTTGTTTTATTGGGTTTGTGTTTTTCTTTTATTTCAGATTTTAAAAAATAAAAACAAAAAAAAAAATTCTAATTTTCTTTTATTTCTTGCAGCATAATTTTCTTTTGTTTATTTTATTTTATTTAATTTTCGGTTTAAATTTTAGATTCATTTTTTTCTTCGTTTATTTCAGATAAATAAAACAAAAAAACAAAAAAATAAATAAATAATTTTCGTTTATTTTATTTTATTTATTTTCGCAGCTTATTTTTCTTTCATTAATTTTATTTTCGTATTAATTTTTAAATTTGTGTTTTTTATTTTATTAAAAAAGCAAAAAAATATAAATAAAAAGAAATTTAGCATATTTTTTCTTTTGTTTATTTTATTTTCGGTTTATTTTTTTAGATTTGTATTTTTTTTCTTTTATTTTATCTATTTCTTGCGTAATTTTCAGCTTGCATCATTTTATTTTCAGTTTAATTTTTAGATTAACAATTAGTTTGTCAGAATTTATTTTTAGTAGTTGTTAATTTTGTTTAGCACAATTAATTGTTGTTTTATTTTCTGTTTGCAATTATTATTTGTTGCTTTATTTAATTTCTTTTCTTTTAGTTGCTTTTATTGAATAATTAATTGCTAAATAGAAAATTGTTGAAATTTTCGAATTTGAGTTTAAATTTCAAATCTGAATTTAAATTTAAATTTTAATTCGAATTTGAATTTGAATTTGAGTTTAAATTTAAAATCTGATTTTAAATTTAAATTTGAATTTGAATTTGAATTTCAACTTTTGAAATTTAAATTTTAAATTTTCGAATTTACAAAAAATTGAAAATAAAAAGAAAATAAAGAAAAAGTTAAAAAAAATTCAAATATAAAATTTAGGAAATTAAATTTCAAAATCTGCATTTGAATTTAAACTCCCAAAAATTTAAACTTTGAATTAAAAAAAATATAGAAAAAAAATCGAAAAAAAATTTGGTGAGTATTTTTCTTGCATTTTCATTCCAATATTTAGGGTTTTATATTCTAGAGAATGCATCATTTAGGTTTATTTATTTGCTGAAATTATTATTATTAGTTGTGAATGTGTTAGGTGTTCTTTTTATTATTTTAATTGTTCCTTTTGCTTTATTCTTTTATGGTATATTGCTGAATTGCATTTTAGAAATAATTGTTCATGCATTGTAGTTAGTTGCATTTTGTTGTGTTTATTTTCTCTTTCCGTTAATCTATTTAAGGGCATCCAACTTAAATAAGATAAGGTGGGGATTTCATCACCCTTCCTTGGCCCAAAAATCACCACCCTTCACGTGCGGTTCACCTCAAACCCTAATTTAAAATTTGGATAGCAAGATCCTTTAGGGAGCCTCACACTTGGTTCAAAGGTGTGCGGTTCACCCTAACTCTAATTTAAAATTTGGATAGCGAGATCCTTTAGGAAGCCTCACATTTGGTTCAAAGGTGTGTTGAATTTTAGGAGAGCTTGAACTTATTTTCCATAACTGGCGGTTTGTGTCTAAAGAAAGAGGTTAAACGGCTAAGCCTAAGCGGGTTTTGTGGTTACTTAATTAGGTCCTTGCGAGAGCAAGGGGAGCCTCTCACATCCCCACCTCTTACCTGGCTAACCAAAGGAAGTGGTGTAATTCCAAGTGAACCTAAAAGGATTCACATTGGTTGAACCACTAGTTTAGGAAACCCTAGGTCAGTCCCTTGGTCGTATGGTTGATTTGTTTGCCTTTAAAAAAGTAATAAAAAATAAAAAAGAGAGAATAAAAAAATTTAAAAATTCAAATTTGAATTTAATTTTTAGGAATTTAAATTTCAAAATCTGAATTTGAATTAAAAAAAAATTAAAAATCAAATTTGAGTTTAAATTTCAAGATCTAAATTTGAAATTAAAATTCAAAATTTAAATTTCAAATTTCAATAAAAAAGAAGAAAAAGGGGGTTAAAATAAAATGAATTCAATGGCCGGAGTTTGTGGAATGAGAAACTACTTCCAACCTGAGCCACAAATTGATTGGAACCATGTGTCTCGACAACTGGACAAGATTAATGGTATGGCCCAAAGACTTGACGAAGTCCTTGCACGTCATCAACAAAGTGGCCCATACCCAACCTTGTCATCCTATGCATCATGTTCCATCTATGCAAGCCCAACACATCATGTCGACCAAGTACATGCG